CATCTCGTGTTTATCTGACTTCACGTACACATGCATGGACAGAGTGTACGTGCTTGAGAGTGTCCATGTGTGGGGGTGTGTTACAGGGATGCGAGTTAGGGTGGAGTGACCAGAGGCTGTTGCCTGGGGTCCTCCGTTGTTCCTGTTCGTCAAATCATACTATCTCTAGTCTAATATCTGCCTGCTGCTTCCAGCAGATACTGGCTCCCTGTATGTTCCTCATATCAGGGCTTTTGCCCTTGGTGAGAGGCCTCCTGCATGGCCCTACACCTGGCTGACAAGCAGGAACTCTGGGCACCAAGATGATATCCCCGAGAACAAGGAGGGCTGGGACCCCTCATGCCTGTACCATGCTCAGCTGTGGGCAGACACCAGCAGGCCCCCGCTCCACCCGGACACCTGCCAGGACAGGCTTGGTCGGTCGTCTGCTGGGGGCGAGCTCTTGGCAAAGGTGCTCGGTGGCCTCAAGTGGCCGCGGTCCTCCCTCCTCAGTGCAGGCGCTGGAGAGGCAACGCTACGCTGGCTCTCATAATTGAAGAAAACAAAAGGAAATTAAATAGGTCTAATGAGGAGAATATCAATAGCCCGCGCCTGGAGAGGCTTTTATACTCCACTTCCTCCAGGGTGACCAGGCGCACCCAAGGTTCTAAGCGATTGCACAGCCGCGGCGGCACAGCCCCCCGGGGTGTAATGGGGCCTCCACCCCTGCCTGTCCATCCCCTGGCGGGTGGAGTGACCGGGGCCCAACTTCCCGAAGTTTCCCTGCCTGGCCCGCTGGGTGAGGGTGGAGTGGAGGCATCCTCGCCCGGGTTGCTGTGGGAGGCAGGGTTGCGAGGTGCAGGCTGTGCTGTCTGGGCAATCTCTGGGCCAGTGATCTTGCCTCCCAGGAGCAGCTGGTCCTGGTGCCTGAGCAGGGAGTGGGAGGCGAGAGCCCCTCCACGCCCACACTCTGCTGGGCCCGGCCACTCTGCTCAGTGGGGTCACCTGGACTCATGCTTCCCCGGCCGGCCTCTGCCCTCATCTTTCCTTAAGGTGAGGATGATAAACTGCGGCCAGGTACAGCCGGCGCCCCCGCTGTGGCAGCTCGCAGCACTCTTGGGGGCTCCTGGTGTCACCCAGCCCAAAGGACTTGGAGTGCGGAGCTGCTCACTAGGGAATTTATGGGAACAAGCACAGCAGCGTCACCTGGTGCCACATGAACACTGCGTGGCTGGAGGCTGGGCCGTGTCAGCACCGCTGCGGCCGAGGCTCACCTGGAACCTTGCAGGTGCCTGCAGCGTGGCCAGAGAGAGTGCGCGGGGGCGGCGTGGGGGCTCATCCCGCTGCCCCAGCAGCTCAGCCCCAGCTGCTGATCCTGGGGACCCCTTCAACCTCCCCGAGGAACCTCTTAGTGCCCCTGGGGCAGCGGCTCTCCCTGTCCCTTAACAGGTGAGAGAGGAGCCCACTTACCTGGCCAGTCAGACCTGGCCAGCTATTTCCTCTTTTTAATAACTACCTTCCCCCACCCCAACTTTTTATTTAAAAAATTTCAAACTATAGGAAAGTTGAAAGGATGCAATGAACACACATATTCTTTACCTAATGAACTATTCACACGCACTGCCCTCCGCCTGACTGCAGCGGAGCTGTCGTGCCCAGGGGTTGAACACTGGTCCACTGTCCAAGTACAGTTCCCCATCTTCTGTCCCCAAAATATCTTCCAGATCCCCCCCGCCCCGCCAGGATCCAGCTGGGATCACTCGTTGAGTTTGATTGTCCGGCCTCTGTAGTCTCCTCTCATCCAGAAAGATCCCTCAGCCTTTCTCTGGTCCCCAGGGCGTGACCTGCTTTGAGAGAAGCCCCAGTGTTTTGTGGACGGCACCACAATCTGAAATTGCCGGGGTTGTTTCTTCTTGCTGAGACTCCAGGGCTTGACCCGATTCTCATGCAGAGGCGGGGAGGCAGGCTTGTCCCGTCCTGATCACTGGGTGGAGGCCGGGTCCTCTGCAGGTGTTCCCATCCTCTCACCCCCCCAACCTCTAAGTAAAGTTCGGGGCTTCTTTGCAGATCTCTTTGTCCTTAGACAGAGACAGGGTGTGGTCAGCCTGCTGGCTTCCACGCTCCTTGAGTGAATTCCTCTCTATGAGGGTGCTACCACATTTCAGAAAAGCATGATTCTCCAATACAGGAGCTGAGGGCCATTGTTTGCAGGCCACTGGCCCAGAATATCACGTAGCAGGGCCAGGAATCAGCTATAAACAGCTGCGCCTGGACCAGGACCAGAGTGGCCGGCAGGCAGGAGGCACTGGCCTTCTGGAGCGAGAGGAGGGCATGGCTGTGCTGGTGTCAGGTGGGCGGGGGCCTTCCTAAGGGCCAAGGGGGCGGCTTAGAGGATAAGGTGGGCCCATGTTCCCGGGCCCCCAAGGCCGGCCAGTGATTAGAGGCAGGGTCCGGAGGTGAGAAATGGGAAGCCCTGGTCTGGGATTGGGGTGCCCTGTGGGCAGCATTTCACCTGGCTTGGGTGGGAGAATCACTCCTAACAATTACTTCTGAGCTCCCACGTTTGGAAAATGCTCCTGCTCCCACCCAAGGGTGCTGAACTGAGCTCCCTCAGCCTCAAAATATCTGGCCTACGGTTCTGGTATAGCCCCTACTCCTGCGCTCGTGCCCAGGAGGCCCCTGACCCGCATGCCCAGATCACGCTCCCACAGGCGCCTCCTAGCGTGGGGAGGGGTGCTGGGGAGTGAGGGACCGGAGCTGCCAGGCTGTTCTTCACATTCCTCCCTGCCCTCTCTGCCCACCTCACCCCTGGCTTGGCTGATCCCCACTTTGGGGACCCCAGCTTTTTTGTCCCCCAGCCTATTGACCACCCTTGTGCCTCAGACCTGAAGGGAGTGACTCAGAAGAGGGAATTTCGGTGCCCAGCTCCCAACTCGCCCTCCTGGGCCCGGCGTCTGGTGGGGAACAAGCACCAAGTTCATTGCTTGACTCCCCTTAGGGACGCCCACCCCCTACTCTTTATCAGGTGGGAAACCTCTTGGTTTGAGCCAGGGTGGAGTTGGGGCTGAGGCTGCAGTGAATTGCCGCCTCCTGCCGCTGAGCTGCAAACTAGATGGTGTCACACGCGCCGCCTCCAGCACTTCTGTACCAGCCAAATGCTTTACGTGGGCCTCGAGGGGCCTGGGGTGACCCCTTGCCTGTCTTATCCCTGTGCTCCCCCCACTGACCGCCTTTCTGTTTCTCAAAGTCACCCACCTCTCTCCTGCCCCAGCATCTCCAGGCCTGTGTGTCCCCCTCTCCCACCATCTCCCTGGGGCTGAGACCTTCCCCTTCTCGGCACCTCCGAGAGGCCTCTCAGGACAGCCGCCTGCCTGGCCCCAGGGTCCTTCTGTGCGGTGGTTGTCACTGTCTGAATCGCACATGCCGTAAGCTCAGGCCCTTGTTCTCTCGTCAGGGTTACGTTCCAGCACCTGGGCCGTGCTGTGCACTTAGTAGGTGCTCAGGAACACCTGTTGGATGAATGCGACCAAATTGGGGGATCAGGCCTGTGCCGAGCTCTCCTCACCCAGGTCCCTATTGTCCTCACTGCAAGCTCCCCACAAATAGGGAAACCAAAGCCCGGGCCTGTGAAGTTATTGAGGGAATGAGACAATAGCACATCTGATTCCAAGTAAGTTTCTGTGCAACGTCTCCCGTGTTCTGGGGCTTCCACCTGAGACATGCTTTTTTTATAGAAAAAAAAAAAAAACAAAACATGGAGAAAACAGAAAACTGGAAGGAGCAAAGTCAGCAGCTGCTGCTCCTAGGATAATCAGCTTTTTTACAGAGCAGGCAGGCCTCTGTCCAGCCCCATTTCAGAAGGGACCTTGTTTTTCCCTTTTGCACTCACCACTGTAACGTTCACGTGTCCTGTGGTCGTCACACCGTCTCTGCAAACATGACTCTGCACAGAGCACCGCCCACCGAGTGGACGCCCAGCCTTGCCCACGCGCCCGCCTGGTATTGGGTGACTGGCCTGGGCTGCTTGCTGAGTATCACGGGCAGAAGTCACGTGTCTGTCCACTGTCCATTTATTCTATGACCTGATTTTACTGCATGCCGGGTCCTGTGCCAAGCAGGGTCGCGTGGCCAGGCCTAAGGCTCGGCGCTGTCCGTGGAGCTCACAGTCCCGCGTGGGGGCAGGGAGCGTGTCCTCCATGGGGCGGCTTCTCTGGGCCGGTCGGTGGACTAGGGCTGCAGAGGCACCCATGGGAGCCGGCTGTTTGGGACTCTGGGCTCTGGAAAGCTGTTCCCAGGAGGCAGGGGTTGCGTGCTGCACCCGGGTCGTGGCGAGGGCAGAGGGAGGCCCGGGGTGGGTAGCCTGAAGCCTGGGGGGCCTGCTGGGACAGGAGGGGTGAGGGCTGAGCTGGGGCCTGGAAGGCCGAGCCTGGAGCTTGGAATTTCTCCTGCAGTGGGTCATGGGAACTCTGGTCGCTCGTCCCCTCTGTAAAAAAGCTGTTTTCTTTCAAGATCAAAATTAGACACGCGCAGGTGAAAAACCGAGCCCCGCAGCGTGGAATGGTTTCTGCAGAACTGAGGCCCTCCCGCTTACTGGGAGAAAACGCTCTCACCTGCTCTGGCACTTTCCTCTTCCCTCGGACTCTCCTGCTTTCTCCATTTCTCAAGTCTCGGACGTGCCACCTCCTCACTCCCATCCCAGCTCCCCACCAGCCTTTCTGCTCTTCCCTGTCGTCGTTGTCATGACGCCAGATGAGCACGTGCACCACCACTGCCCCGTCCGCTCTGGGCCCGTGTTGCAGAGGAGGGTGCGGGAGCCTGGCCCTGCGCCCCTGCCCCCTTGTGCTCCTCCATCAGGCACATCACGGGCGGGGGCTTGTGTGACTGGGGGTGGGGGGTCGGCAGCCGTGACCATCCAGCATCTCCCACCAGTCGTTTAACACTGGTGGACACCACTGCCGGGCCCGGGTCCCCCTTCCAGCCCTGGGTCCCCAGCACCCACATGCCCCTCCCCTCTGCTGCAGCAAAGCTTCGAGGCGCACCAGGACGAGGCCGTGAGCGTGACGCACATGGTGAAGGCGGGCAGCGGCGTCTGGATGGCCTTCTCCTCCGGCTCCTCCATCCGCCTCTTCCACACCGAGACGCTGGAGCATCTGCAGGAGATCAACATCGCCACCAGGACCACCTTCCTCCTGCCAGGTGAGCCTGCTGGGGAGCGGGCGCCCCGCTGTCCCCGCCTGGGGAGGGAGGGGCAGGCACGACAGGCCGGCAGCCAACCTCCTTAGCCCCCTGTAGTGCCTGGTCATCAGCCTTGAAAACCGGGCTCCAAGCGGGGAAGCAGCGGGTTGGGATCCCGGGGACTGCTGCCCCAGAGCTCTGCTTGCGGTCGTGGTGAGCTCCCTCCCAGCAGCAGGCAGGCCCTTCCAGGTCAGGTAGCTGCTCAAAAGCCACGCAGGGGAGACCCCAGCCCGAGGCAGCCCTGGGCGTCACACTGGTCGCTCTCAGCGCTCACTCTGCGCGGGGGACACGGCTCCGGAGGCGGTTGGGCGGCCGGCGGGTCCCTCCTGTGTGTGGGGCGGGGCGGCTCCTGCGCTCAGGGCAGGCGCTGCCAGGCATGGGCACATGGGCAGACACCTTGCCCAGCGGGACTTTGGGTGGGTGCCCGAGAGACTCAGTGTCTCCCGGGGGTGTGCCGGTCGCGGTCATGGGTCCTTCCTGCCCCCCTCGCTCTCCTTCCCTCCTGCCTCCCCCCACCCCCTCCCCTTCTCCTTTTTTTCAGCTTCAGTGTCATTTTGTTTCATAGTATTTGGCCATTATACAAGGTAAATCCATTTTAATGATAATAAAAATTTCTCCATATCACAGAAATACTTCCACATTTGTGGTGATAGCTAAATTATTTCGCATTAGTGGAACAATAAGGAGGAAAATCTTATGAGCCTTTTTTAATCTCCTCAGTCTCCTCTGGGGGGGCCTTTAAAGGAGGAAGGACAATTTCTTGTCATGATGAGTTTCAGAGCCAGGTAAACTGAGGCCCAGGATGGTAAAGACCAGCCTAGCCAGTGCTCAGACCTTGCAGCTTCCACCTCCCTGGGCCTCAGTTTCCTCATCTTGAGGTTGGAGCCAGAGCTTGGGCACAGCCAGGCTCTGCTCCTTCCAGCTCTGTGAGCAGGAGCGAGCTCCTGGGTCCTGACTGCTCAGGGCAGGCGTGGCCTTACCGGTGTCAGGCAAGGACGGCGCCCGCCATCTTGGCCTGCATGGGGCTCAGTCCCTGTCACTGTCTCCATCACCACCTTCACGGCCCCCAGCCCATCCGGTCACACGTGTCCCATGGGGTTCCCTGCTTGCCCCTCTGTTATCAGTGTCTTTCCACCAAACCAGCATCCGCAGACAGAGGCCACCTCTTGCCACACCTCCCTGGGACTGGACCTTGACATGGGTGGAGGGGCCTGTCCTGGGCACGGGGCTCCCCCAAGGCCCCCGGGGGTTGCTTCCCGGGCCTCCTCCCCCAGGCCAGCCCCTGCCTGATCAGCCACGTCAGGGAGCCTGGGGCCCTGTGTGCTCGAGGCCCCCCACGCCTGGGAGGAGCCGGGCCGTGCCCACCCCAGGTGGGGGGTGGCTTCCAGCCACCCTACGTGGCGCCCTGGCAGAGAACAACAGAGCAGAATTCTTACATCCTTTATTAGAGATATTTTTAAAAGGCTTTTAAGTATTTTTTCTCCCCCCACACCACCAAACGAAATAATTGCATAATTAGTAATAAATTTGTTCTTCCTCTAAGTGTGGATTTTTTTTAAGGGCGTGTTAAAAATTTATCACCCTTCCTTCCTGTGACCTCTTTCTTCCACTCGAGGGCCCGACTGGTATTAATGCATTTTTGAACCTAAACTCCCTCCTCCTCTTAACTAGACAGGTCATTAATAAAATGTTCTCCGAGCGCCTGAGCTTTTTAAAGTTGTATATCTCCAGATAGATGGCCTGGGTGAGTTGAACACTGCTGCATTAAGTCTCTGTGATAAAATATTTATCCACCATTAGAATTTTTTTCTTTTGGACTGTTTGTGAAGTGCCTTGCTCTTTTCCTCGAGGTGGAAGGCGGGGGTGGGGCCCCGGAACGAGGTCTGCAGATGAAGCCATTCCTCAATTCTGGCATCTCTCTCGGTTTCTCGCTCGCCTGCCTTTCATCTGTCGGGCCTGGGCTGTCCAGCGGGGGCCGAGAGGATGCGGGGGCACCAGGAAATGGTCTCTGATGGTCTCGGGCCCCAGGGGCCCCGGCCGAGGAGGTGAGGGAGCTAGATGAGAAATGCCACTGTTCCCTTTCTTGGCCCGATTATTTTTTGTGGGTTTACGGCGCTGATGGAGCTGGTCTGAAGGCATTAGAATCTAGGTCCTTTGAATAATCACAAACCTTATCCTAATAGCCTCCATTTATTGATTGTGCACACTGTGGGCTAGGAGCTGTGCTCAACCATGTAAATACGTTATATATACACACACCGTGTAGATAATCACGCGTGCGCACACACGCATGCACGCACACAGGCACACTCACGCCCGATTGCTAATCATCATAAAGTTGAGCACCAGAGGTTTGTAAAACTCATTCATCGATGAAAGAGACTTGTCCAGACCCGAAGAGCCAGTGCATGAATCAACACCCATGTCCCTGTTTTACTTTTCTTTGTTCATTCACGCAGCTGCTTCTTGAGCAACTGCATGAACCAGGATGGTCGGCCAGGAGCTGGGGGGTCCACTTTGGGGCTCAGATATGCTGCTGCCCTCGGGGAGCTTACATCTGGGGGGCAAAGAGCAAATTGCACACAGAGAATGTCGAGGGGTGCAGGCCTTGATCCCGGCCACGGAGGGTGGGAGGGGGTGTGCAGCCCGAGGCCTGGGAGGACGGACGCTGGCCTGGTAGCTCGGGGACCACACTTTGAGTTGATGCAGGTGTGGGGGAGAGTCTCAGCTCTGTGGACCCCCAGACTCTACTGTTGGTGAAATGGCCCCAGGTGTCCAGGGACAGGCTAGCTTTTGCCAGTGAGTTTGCATTTCCACATGGCATCGACACTAGGAAGGTGACTTTTTGAGTTGGCAGCACGTTGTAGGCTCAGAGATGCCACCCCCAGCTGATGTGATGCAGATGCATCTCCCACAGCACATCCCGTGGGGGACTCGGGCTTCCCTCCACCTGCCCCTCCCCCCTCCTCCAGGCTCCTGGCAGGGAACCTCAAAGCTGCCCTGACCCCTCTCCTCCTGCTCCAGTCTGCCAGGGGTCTGTCGTTCTGCTTCAGAATAATCACAAGCGCTGTCAGCTTCTCATCACCTCCCTGCCACCTTTGAGTCTCCGCCAGGACCCTCTCTGCCTTGCTGGCCTCCTTGTTCCCTCCCTGCACCCCACCCTCTCTCACCCTGCAGCTAAAGCCTCCTCTAAAATTGGATTGCATCACTCTCCTTAACCGGCCTTCCAGTAGCTTCTCATCATTCTCAGAACAGGAGTGGCACCCTCTGTCCTGACCCCCTCTCAGGTCATCTCCTACCTGCCCCAGCAGCCTGCCCCACCGGCCCCCCAGCTCATTCTCAGTGCAGGGCTTTTGCACAAACGTCTCCTGGCCCTCGCTGGCGTCTTGGTGCAGCTGCCTCCGCCTCGCCTCCCGCGTCGCGATTGTCACACCTGCCTCCCTGTCCTTCCGGGAAGCAGAGTGAGGCACGACAGTCCTGAAACACGCCCACTCTGCACCACTTGAGCCCTCTGCCTGGTATTTATGTTCCTCATGCGTGTTCTCGCTCCCTCGCTCCCCTTCCCGGGCTGCACTCTGGAACTCCACAGCCACTATGAGATGGAGTGAAATGAAATGAAATGAAAAATCCAGTCCCTCAGTCCCACTCGCCACCTGTCAAGCACTCAGGCTGGTGGCCACCAAACTGCAGAGTCAGGCAGAGAGAACATTTTTGTGACCACAGGAAGTTCTAGAATGTTTGCTCTTCCAGAGCAGACTCCGTATGGTTCCTGCGTGCCATGTGCAGTCCTGGGATGCCAGGTGCCGGGGCACGCGCCTCCAGGCATGGACTGGTCAGACTGGACAAGCCGGGCCAACCCTCAGAAGTGAGCCCCCAAATGCATTTCTAGCAAGTTCGCAGGTGACACCGAGGCTGCTGGTCCAGGAACCACACTCTCAGAGATGCTGCTGTGGGGTTTCCAGAGCACCCATGTACCAGTCTGACCTAAGCCTCGCAGGGCCGAGCTGTGTGCCAGGCACGACGTTATGCCGGGTTTCCAGGTGGGGGTATTAATGCCCGCCCCCCGGGTACAGCGGGGATGCAGGCAGAGCTCAGGTTTTGTTGCAGCTGCTCCACTCCTGGGGAGATCACTTCCGTGCCAACCTGGAGGCATGGCATCCCCAGGGCTGCACGTGGCATGGGGGAACCACACAGAGGCCTGCTCTTGGGAAGCACACACTCTAGAACTTCCTGTGGTCACAGCCTTTGGCTCATTTAATCCCCAGGCCAAGGCTTGGAGACACCGTTGCTGTCCCTCTTGCAAGAGAGGAAACCGTGGCACAGGGTTAGGGACTGGTCCCCGGTCACGAAGCAGGAAGTGGCAGAGTCAGGGCTTGAACCCAGCTCTGGGCCCGGAGTCCTGTTGGCCCCTGTGCCCAGCAGCCCATTCTGTGCCTTCTCCCAGTGAAGAGCAGAGAGACCCTCTAACCTTCGCGCCATCGCCCTTCGTGCTGACATGAAGAGACAGTAGCCAGAGGAAAGCTGAGCTAGAACCAATACGAATTGATATTAAAAACACACTAGTTCCTGGCGTCATTTTACTGTCGGGGGCCCAGACTGTGGGGTGTGCTGTGCCCTCCACAAGGAAAGGGTCCATGTGGGCAGAATGCCAAGCCCAGGCTGGAAACCCAGGGGCTTTGATACGCTGCCAGCTTTCCCTCCTTCCTGCCTCCCCTGTCTTCCTCTTCCTGCATCCCGTCTGCACCAACCTCTGCTTCACCCCCAACCTCATGCTCCCCATAGGCTGGTTGCGTCCCTGGCATGGGCCACCCTTGACTTAGCCTTGGTGCAGGATGACCCAGCCACAGCCTGTCGAGAGCACGAGGGCCAGCTCTGTGCTCTCTTAACTCATTGCATCCTCGAGGCAGCTCCATGTTACAGGGGAAACTGAGGTTGGTTGGGGAAATGCCCGGCTGGCACCCCGGGGTCGTTTTCCCCAGCCTCACGTCTTGCCTTCCTCCCTATCCAGTCTCTTGCTCATCTCCTGGGTGGAGCCCTGGCTGTGCCCCCCTGACCTGGGAAGGTGGCTGTGCTCACGGTGGCCTCTCTCTCTGCAGGCCAGAAGCACCTGTGCGTCACCAGCCTCCTGATCTGCCAGGGTCTGCTCTGGGTGGGCACCGACCAGGGTGTCATTGTCCTGCTTCCTGTGCCCCGGCTGGAAGGCATCCCCAAGATCACAGGTGAGGGGAGCTGGTCCCAGCAGAGCCAGGGAGGCAGCTGCAGGTGGCTGTTGGCTGGGGGATGGCAAATCTTGCGTCCAGAAATTTGTATTCTCTTCTGATATGGGGGTGACAGCCATTCCCCAACGCCCTCTGTCATCACGGAGGTTCTGTGGCACAGTGCAATGAAATCACCCCAACTTCATGGTTCCCTATTTTCTTTTTGAGTCTCAATTTTCTAATCTGGCAAATGGGCACAGTGGTGCGCTTTGGCCGGGTGGCTCAAGGCTGGACCAAGGCATCTGATCGGGGCAGAGGCTCCGCAGGACCTTTTCCTCCCTCCCCACAGCAACTTCAAAACGTCCCGACTCCAGAGGTAGAATTAGCTAAGGACTTCTGGGGCTGGGGGTCTGTGTGTGAATGTATTTTGGAAGGTCTGTCCTGACCATGCATGGGACCTAGAGAAAGGGGTGGATCAGGAAGCACCTGGAGCGCTGGCCCCCCTCTGCCTGAGAGTGAAGAGCAACCTGGGGCCTGCTGCTGGGGGAGTGAGTGGGGTAGGGAGCACCCTACGGCTGAGGCAGGGGCTCTGAGGGCGGGTGTTCCAGCAACTATAGGACACAGAGATGGGGCGATCAGGTGATTCAAGAAGGGGGTGCTGTGGGGGTGCTTGTGTGGGGATTCTCAGGCTGAGTGATAGAATCAGGTAGAAGGGAGAGACTTTCCAGGCAGAAGCAGCAGCTTGGGCAGAGGCATAGACATGAGGGTGGCTCAGGGCGGAAGTGGGGGGTCTGTCTGAACTCCCCCTCCCCCTGTTCTGCTCCACACCTGAAGTGTGGGAGGGCCCTCCCCAAACCATGGGCTTCTGGGAAGTTTCCAGTATAGATGACAGTTACCCCAAAACCCAAAATCCCAGAAATTTCTCCAAGTTGCCGTGTGGGTATCTCCCCTAAAGCTCTGGGCCTTTCGGCTCTTCTTGCCCCATCCTGCAGGGAAAGGAATGGTCTCACTCAACGGTCACTGCGGGCCCGTGGCCTTCCTGGCTGTGGCCTCCAGCATCTTGGCGCCCGACATCCTGCGGAGCGACCAGGAGGAGGCCGAGGGCCCGAGGGCCGAGGAGGACAAGCTGGACGGGCAGGCCCACGAGCCCGTGCCCGCGCCCGCCAGCCACGGGGGCCGGGAGCTGACCCGCAAGAAGGGCATCCTGCTGCAGTACCGCCTGCGCTCCACCGCGCACCTGCCCGGCCCGCTGCTGTCCATGCGGGAGCCGGCGCCCGCCGAGGGCTCGGCGCTGGAGCACAGCGAGGAGGACGGCTCCATCTACGAGATGGCCGACGACCCCGACGTCTGGGTGCGCAGCCGGCCCTGCGCCCGAGACGCCCACCGCAAGGAGATCTGCTCCGTGGCCATCATCTCCGGGGGGCAGGGCTACCGCAACTTCGGCAGCGCCCCCGGGGGCAGTGGGCGGCCCGCGCCCTGCGGGGAGACGGACAGCGCCCTCCTTATCTGGCAGGTGCCCTTGACGCTATAGCCTTTGCCCAGGGCGCACAGCTCAGCCGTGCCTGACTCTCAGCCCGCTGGGGACCCTGCTGGCCGTCCAGGGTCCCCCAGGGAAAGCGGGGGGCATAGCCTTCCAGGGACCTACCTGGGGGCCGTGCAAAATGGGTCTGGATTCTCCAGGAACCGTGTGGGCCATGCAGAGAAGAACCTCTTCCTTAAAAATGTCTCAGACTGTTCTGGGGAGTGTTTCGGGTTTGGGGAGAGGAAGGAAATGGCCTTCTTTTCAAAAGCAAAAAAATAATAATAATAACAGAAACCTCACGAATGCCTGGCAAGCCCAGGGCCGCCGCCGGGGCAGCAGGCTCAGGGCCGCCCGGGCTCTCCTGGGAGGGCGTGGGCGTGTGCGTGTGCGAGGGCACACGGGCTGGCGTGTGAATATATATAAATACGTATACATGATGTATATTATATGTGTATAAATAAAGTCTGTACATATTGGCGCTCTGGGAGATGCTGGAATAAAAGGCAGGAGTAACGTCAGGGTCGACGGTGTTTGTTTTTGAGATGCAGCAGGGTGCAGCTAGCATCAGAGGGGGCTTCTCAGCCGCCAGGAAGCGCTGCCTTTGGCAGGAAGCCCTGAGCCTGGCACCCGGAGGACAGGCCCGAGAACTGCGCTGATCGGTGTGGGCAGCATCGGCCACGTGGCTATTTCATCTTTAACGCGTTATAATCAAATGAAATGACAAATTCAAGCCTCGGTCTGATCGGCGTGTTCCTACGTGGCCCGTGCACCATGGGGGCGTGAGACCCTATTGGGCAGCATGGACATGCCAGAAGGTTCTCTGCTGCTGCTCAAGAAGGGGCTCTGGGAGCGGCTTCTCCGAGTATTGTTTGAAGAACGGGGTTTTAGGCAGTTGCTATGGGCAACAGCGAGGTGGGAGGGGCTGAGGTCCGGGGTCTGAGGGAGGATGGTGGGAGCAGAGCTCATGCTGTGGGGTGGGATTGGCAGGGGGCACCTGGGGCCATGGCTCCCCTCTTCTGGCTCCTTCCATCCTGAGATTTCTCCCACTGCTTGAGGGGTGGGGAACCAAACCCAAACTCCCACCCAGAGCTTCGTGCTTCCTCCATCTTCCCACCCACCTGCCACCTGTCTGTCCACCCACCTGCCAGCCCTTGTGTACTTAAAGGCAGTAGCGCCAGGATCGGGGGAGGGGAGGGAGGTAGCCGGCAAGGCCAGACCGAGGCCTGGCTCCATAGGCTTCTGTGAATCTGGGGACACGGTTAAGGGGTCGGCGGGTCTGAACCACCTGGATCTCGCCCACTGGAGGAATCGTCGCTCCTTCTGCCCGCTCCTGGGGCTCCGGTTGTGCAGCAGGCACTGTGTGGGGTGCCATGGAGGTGAGCAAGCCGTGGTCATCATGTGTCCAGGAAGCACATGGTTCGGGGAAGGGCAGGCGGCAGTGCTGGTGGTGAGGGTGAGGGTGTGAAGGGTGCTGCCGAGAAAGGGGGAGGGCCTTGCAGAGGGCGGTGCAAAGGTGGAGGTGTGCAGAGACTGGCTGGGGAGGGGTTCCCAGGAGGAAGGGGACCTGATATCTGGAGGAACCATAACCCCCAGCACTGACTAGCTCCATTCTGTTCCAGGTGAACTCATCACCTCTCGGCCTCAGTTTCCCATTCGTTTCAAAGGGAGACTCCACACTGTCCTGGCCCCTCTCCTGGGAGGTGAGGTCCTCCTGAGCACAGATGGGATAAAGGCTCCTCACCCAGCGCCCTGTCTGGGGGTGCTCCCTGGGGTGCCTTTATTCCCCTAGATGCTGGCTGAGACTGTTCTGGAGCAGTGATCAGTGAGTAGCAGCCTCTTGGGACAACCAGCCCGCGGGGGAGGATCCATCAGGCTTGCGTCCCGCTCCAGCTCCACCCAAGACCTTCCGTGTGGCTCTCAGCCGGGTCCCTTCACCCACGGGCCTCGGTCTCCTTGTCTCTGAACCAGGGACGGTGACCTCTTGCAGGACGGCCGAGGGCAAGTGGTAGCAAGTTCGTGGGAAGAATCTGGAATGTCTCTGAAGGCAGCTTGGCGATTACTCCTTCTATCATCTGAGCTCCCCTGTTGCCAGCAATTTGAGGCAGACTGTTCTTCCTAACAAGTCCCCCCTTTGGAGCTGAGTTGGCCTCTGAGAGTTCTTTGGGCCCTTTAGATCCTAGACATGCAGCTCGCTCAGCTGAGGGAGCCTTGGGAGATCTGATGGGACCCGTGAAATCCGTCACTGAGAAATGACTGACTTTGCTACTATAGTGAAATTATCATATCAGTCAACAGCTCATCTCCCCAGTCTCTGACAACAGAGCGAGGGAGAATTGGGGGCGTCGGAAGCGGCTCTTGAGGCATGTCAGGACGTGCCTGGCATGCGAGAGGAGGCTCTGGCTTTAGATATTGATCAGAGTAATAATACCACGAGCACACCTGCGTCAGCTCCCTCCCCCCACAGCCACCCCAGGGGCTGCTGGGTTTGCCTCCAGCCGCAGGTGCGGGGTCTCAGGCTTAGGGAAGGTAAGTGACTTGCCGAGGGAGACTGAGGTCTGTCTGCTGCCAAAGCCAGACACTTGGCCACCTGACCACTCGCCTCCAAGAGCAAAACTTTGGGGACACACAGTCCAGCGCTCTGACTACTCTCCCTGTTTTGTAGCTGTGTGATGTCAGGCAAGTGACTTAACCTCTCTGTGTCCTGGACAGGGGATAACAGTCCCTGGCAGGGGAATCAAATGTCATTGATTCAGTATTTATAGAAAGCCTACTGTGTGCCAGGACAGGCTCTCTCACACACCCTGCCCTCCTTTTACCGGTGAGGGGAGGAGGGAACAGATAATACATAAAAATACGTTATTGGTGTTTGTGCTCTGGAGACAGCACAGGGAAGGGGTGGTAAAAAGTCTGGGGAAGGGTTTGGGGTTAAACAGGGTAGCCGGGAGTTCTCCTGGGAAGGTTACATTTGAGTGAAGCCCTGGAGGGGGACATAACAGATGGCAGAACATTCTGGAAAGAGGGAAACAGCAGTGCAAAGTGCCGAGGCAGGAGTGTGGCTGTAATGAGGGCGCACTCTCTCTCTCTCTCTCTCTCTCTCTCTCTCATACACACACACCCCTACCTGGCATCGATTCAGAGGGTGTGAGGACTGGGGAGATTTCAGCTCATCAAGATTTATGGAGGTTGAAAATAAACTACAAGTTTATACTCAAACAAATCATCCCACTACACAGCTGAACACCTTTGCTGAACACTAGGTTAGAGTTACACTGGATGTAAAATCATCCCTCTCCTTACAGCACGTACGGTCCAGCGAGCGGGATGCTGATGTCAAGGAGATTCAACCTAGGAAGGCTTCCTGGAGGCAGCGAGGCGTGGCACAGCAGACATGGGCTTTGGATGGATGCAGATGTGAGTTTGAATTTTGACTCTATCACGTGTTTACTGTGTGTCCTTAATCAGCACATCCATGTCCTCAGCCTCGTAAATGGCAACACTTGCCTCTCGGGGTGTGTCAGTGTACTAGTTACTACTCTTATGTCTTCTCATCCTGCTGCTACTCCTACAGCACTAGTTCAGTGAATCCTCTTAAATAAGGGGGAAGGGAGGCAGATGCCGAAGCAGAGGCTCAGAGGGCACAGTAACTTGCTGGGCACACAGCCTCCAACGTGGACGGGGCTGGGGTCTGCAATCCTGGCTGGGGGAGGGGTGGGCGCCGTGCCCAGTTTGGCTGGTCTGTTTCTGAACCCTGGGGGTAACTGAGCCTCTGAAGCCTGCTTTCTTATGGGCCCGATGCCTGCTTTCTTTTGATGACAAAGTGTGTGCATGTGTGTTCCCGTGGGTGCGCCACACAAGGACACATTCTGAACTTCCGCTACGGGACGTGGGGATATTAACGCTGACCCTCCCAGCCTGATGGGCGAGCACAGCCACTGGCCTGGAACATCCCCAATCTGGCGGGGGAGAAGTTCCAGTGCTCCCTGTCCGATGGAGGACTCAGAGCTTCACCTCGCACCCCTCCACCTGGTTTGGAGGGGAAGCTGCTAGTATGACCGGAGGACATGGGTCTGCCCTAGGGAGGCCCAATCTGATGGGGGAGGTCCAGCCCAACTCGCAGGGACCACCTGTTTAATGGAAAAGAGTTTCTGCCCAGGCGCCCTTGTTGGATGGGGGAGACTGAGCTCTGTCTTCAGAGGATTCTCCGGCCCCGTGGGGGAGCCCCTGGGGATGACGCTGGAAATGACGCCCTTGGCCCTGGCACGCTCCGGCCTGAGAGGGGAGGCGGACCCTCTGCGGCCACAGCCCTACAATAGGACACGCCACAGCAACTTCTAACAAGGCAGACCTAATTACAGGGCTCGACTACTCTAAACTCCTCATTTACACTTTCCCGGGGAAATGGCAAATAGCAAGAATGTGTAAATTGAGGGAAATTAATATAATTACCTGAGCTATTCCTTGTCATCTTTTCATATCAACAGAAACCACAGACCTGTCCTGGTGCGAAGCAAGGGCATGGTGGACGTCGCTCCGCAGGCAGCTGGCTCCGAATCTGCAGGGGACAGGGTCTGTGAGCTGGGGAAGCCAGCCCTGCCTGGGGGCCGGCCCCGCTGCCTGGGGTGAGGGCAGGGTCTGGAGTCTGGAGACACGCCTGTCCCCTGTTGGCTTGCGCGGGACCCAAGGGTGTCTGCACCGCTGTGAGCCACTCCCGCCCCCATGCAAGTGCACACGTGCACTGTGTCACGTGTGTGATGCCTGGGTCACAATGGGTCATCCCAGAGGGGAGCCCCACTTTACAGCTGAGGACACGGAGGCTCAGGGAGGTGAAATGTCTTGCTCAGCGTCACACAGCACAGAGACCCTGGGCCTTCACCTTAATGCCGATGCCCTGTGCCCTGAGCTGCTGCCCCGTCCTCAGCCATAAAAGGGGCTCATTCCCGGCTCCTCTCTCGAGAACAGGTGCCCAGTACCAACACAAGCCACAGAACGTTCGCAAACCTGCAGCCTCAGTTTCCTCTTCTGGAACATGGGGGTAGTAACAACACTGACCACATGGGCTATTTTGAGGGTGAAATGAGTTCAGGCATGGGAAATACGCAGAGCACCTCTGGCCGGTGGTGCGCTCTCATTAACATGATTATTCCCGCCTCGCGCAGGAGCCCTGCCAGGTGTCTGCATCCCGAGTGCTCCTCTTTCTAGCGTTAAACACCCACACGTATCCCGAGGGCCTGAGCACCTTCTTGAAGGTCTTAGCTCTGCTCAGCCAGTTTGGAGAACCTGCCAGCAGAAGTTTCTTGTAGAAACTTCTATCAGTTCTGCTGACTCAGGATGCACAAACGCTGGTGCCACTCACCAGGCACTTTGGAAATAGGGCAACGTGCCGGGAATGCTGTGCTGTTGGACAGACACCCCAGAGTGGGCTGTTTAATGGGTCCAGAGAAGAGACAGTGTAAGTTGCAGAGGCACCCTCGTGTATGGCCATGAGGGGAGAGCCTGAGGTTCGAGAGTTTGAGGGTACACTTTAGCCATTTGGCAGGTGGCTGTCGCTGGCTGCAGTG